AGGTCAACTCTCTGTGATGCCATAATGGGAGTAGAAATTGAGAGCTGTAGGGTCATGAAAGGTTTCAAAAGTTAGAAAAGTAGGTTCAAAAAAAGAATAAGTGACTAGTGTGGGAGAATTGTCTTTAAGTTTATATGCAGGATGTTACAACAGTCATAATGCCTGTGTAAGAGTTATAAGCCACAGGAGAAAAGAACTTACCCCTGGCTCATCCCCCTGTATATAGCCCAGTATTTGGTAGAATGCCTTGTGCATATTAGAGTCCCTAGCCATTGGACATATGGACTTGAATGTCAAAGCTGGGCTCGAGTTCCAGCTCAACCAATGAATAATTCTAAGACAAGTTACTTCTCTTTTTACATTTAAAAAAAGCTTCCTTATTTATTTCTTCCATGAGCAAGAGACAGAGAGAGAAAGAGTCAGCACCCTCCATTTCCCATCCCATATAGGCAAATGTTTCCCCGGGCTACTCAAGAAGGTTTCCCGATTTGAAATACAAGCTTTCCCTCACAGAACATTACATTTTACCGCTGGGCCACTGTCTGGCACCATAGGCTACTTATCTTTTCTAAGCCACATTTTCTCCATTGCCTCCTTATTTAACTCCCATAGAGTTAAATAAAAGAGTACATGAAGCCCATAACACGGTGCCTGGCACATACTATGTGTTCATTATGAATGAATCAATAAACAGAAATAAGTGAATGACTGAAGAAATAAAGAAAGAGAAATGGAAAATTTTCTTTGTATAAAAAGGTTGACATTTTCCATGTAAGAGAGCCATACATACAGACTCTGAGTCTGTTCAAGTAGCTAGGGAAGCTGATATTACTGGTCCCCTCAGAAAACACCTGCCTCTTTTTCTAGGCTCTGTAGAACTGTTGCTGAGTGACCCCTCTAAAAGTTCTGTCTTGGAAGTGACGAGATAGTGTTAGAATTGCTAAGATTGTGCTAGCACAATTTTAGTTCCTATAGTGGATGTGTTAATGTTGAAATCTACTCTAGTACGTCATTTGATCTAACCTTTGGATAGCTCTAATTTCTTACAAGTGGTATATAATTATTGAGTTTGGAGAATGGAAAGAAATGAAGCTGCAATGGGCATCAGTGTGCTAGTAAATAATGATATTTGGAATAATTATGCTTGGCTCTGCTTTCCAAGTTGATGATTTGTTATATTTTAAGGCCGTGCAATAGCTATTGGTATATGGCACAAAAACTTCAAAACTTAAAAACATCTCCATATTTATTTCTATGTGATAGTGCTCAACTATTAGACCTTAATAACAATTTCTGCTGTTTCATGATATTTATTGTAATGAGAATATCTAAGCTAGAGTTAATCCTTTAAAGAATTGTTTGAAATCAACACCACTCATTTTTGGGGAGCTGTAAATTGTTGCCATATAAAATGTAGAATAGGCTATTATCTTAAGACAATGCACATTCAGTGATTTATTTTTCTCTCACAAATGAACTCAAGAAGTCATTGAGATTAACACTGATGGTGATTTAATATTGCCATGGTAGACTACTAAATGACTCAAGCTTATATAAAGTGTAGTCAGTTCAAAATTCCTCATGAAGAGGGATAAAGGATGATAGATTTAGTACAACTAATTCTTATCTAGGTTTTAAATTGTCTTTGGGTCAAACAGTACTTTTGTGCAAAATACATGTATTATGTTATTTGGATTTTCTTATGAGGTGAATTTTATGTTGCAGTATATTCATCTAAAGTTCTTATTAAACTAAACTTCAAGGACAATGAAGAAATTTTTTTTCTTCTTTAGGCTGGGGGAATAGGCCAGCTTTAGAGACTTTCAGAAAAAAAACCATGAAACATGCTACATGAAATGTATCATTTCTAAGAAAGCAATGAATCATGATTTTGAAAATTACAGGACTCCTCATTATACTAAAAATTATCGTATTTAAGGTACTTAAGGAGAAATAATAGAGAAGACATTCGTGGGACACAGAAATAGTTTATTACCTATTTAAAGAATCATTTTATTTAAATTTATTTAGTATTATTTTTTAAAAAATTGAGAGAGAGAGAGAGAGGTAAAGTGAGAAAGCAAGCCATCAGGTCCAGGACTCAAACTGTGGTTGGCCTTGTGGGAATCCTGTGCCTTAACCACCATGTTATCTGCTGACCCAATCATGAAAAATTTATTTATCACTTTTGAAATTAATCTTTATTACACAGGGTATGAGAAATTACAGTCAAGGCAATATCTGGGATTGATCCGTTCAAGTCAATCCCTTACCTAGTTGAGAAGAAAAGTGACAGATTTTGAAACGTTTGTTTCCGTTTTGTTCTCTAGTTCTTAGTACCTTTTCAGTTACAAACACAGAATAGCTGGAAACAAGTGTTCACATTTGTGCTGCAGAGTAGGTCACCTCGGTGAGGATTTGAAAGTACTTGCAATATGAAAATATTGTCTTTAGCAGAAAAGTAAGCTTTGATTCAGAGCATGAAGGAGGAGATCTGGGAAGGCACCCTCTCAACCCCGGGGACTTACATGCGTAAAGAGATGACTAGTAATACCTTAAATTTAAAACTCCCCTGCACTCATCACCACTTCATTATGCTGTGTTTGCCTGACTGGGTCTCTATATTTAGAATACCTCTCTGACACGTTGTTTTTGCTTTCTTATAGGAAAAAAAACCCCAAAAAACAAGACTAATGCATTTTCCATGACAAGCTGTTGTGGGTGTTAATTTACTTCATAAGTTAACAGAAAATGATTAACAATGATATAATTAGTATTTGAGACAGAGGCGAGGGCTTTGCTATTCGACATTATCTATTTATCTTATAGAGAAAAAAGACAAAATGCTTTCTTAAAATATTAAGAAAAGATCATTACTGCAAGTTTTTCACTGTAAATTCCTGAAACATTTTTTTTTTCCTTCCTAGAATCGATTTTGTTTATGGGAAGGGTGACAAATCCTGACACCCAAAAGATAAATGGAAGAGATTTAGATTCACTGTGAATGAAAACACAACTTCAGAACAGAAGATAGTTCCTGGGAAATAGTTGATTGGCAAAATACCACCATCTTGAAAATATTTTCTATATACCTTTTTCTGGTTTTAAACTGTACTGTGGTAATCTGTATTAATAGAGATCTGTGTTCATGAAAAGTAAAATTTAATGTGCATTTGCATCTGTTCTTTTTGAGCATTTTATAAACTTTATAAAAATAAAAAGCAGTGAGCTTACATGAAGCATTACCATGTACCTATCAGAATAACCCTGTCTCAGATGTCCTAAATATCAAGCTTCTGTCGTACATGTCCAACCCCTTATATTCCTAATAGACAAAGTTAACAGACTCCAAGATACAGCAGCATTATCCGGATCACAGGAAGTAAGTCCAGAGAGGGGACAGGGACATGCGTATTGGGTGCTATTTCAGATGCAGGAGGTCCAGTATCTGTGACATAGATGAGCTTTTGGTATCTCACTAGTCTTCACTTGTTGCTCCAAGTTGTAGCGTTTAATGTTTGTCTCGTTTCAATACCTGTTGGATGATACCAATGCTTTTCTTTTGATTTATGCTTTGCATATGCTTACAAAGCAGAAATGCTGACAGCTTTTATAAAGTGTTCTTTTTTATTTTTCTTGAAGTTTTTGCTATCATTCGCAGGCCAGAGAGAGACAACCAGAGAGAGACAGGAAAAGGGAAAAATCACCTCCTCTCCCTCCAGGGGATGGCTACACTGCAATCTTTTCTCTTTGATTCTCCTCTTGGGATTTGAGGCCCACATGCACACGAGCCCAGTGTAATTTTCAAGCCGCTGGGGTCCAGGACTCTAACTGTATCGTGTGGGATCCAGCAACCTTAACCTCCATCTTACCAGCTGGCCCAAAGTGAGCCTATTTTTATAGGTGACAACTGCCAAATGAACATGATTCAGGAGGCTGACCTTCCGCGATTTTACAATACCAAGCTGAAGATGAGACTGCACTCTGTAAAGATTAAACACAGAGACCTTCCTCTGGATACTCTGGACATAACATCTAAATATCAACCACAACACTACATTCCGATATAACACTGTATAACAAGTTTCACAGCTTTTCATGCTAATAATGTGAAGTGTCTTTTCGTTTGTTCATCTTGTTCATTTTTGGCAGCAAACTTAACAATAATAGCTCTCCTTATTACCCCTAATCATATAACAGGTCCAGAAATAAGTACTTTATCGACATTAAATGAAATGCACTTCACATTCTATGAAATAATATTACCTCTATGACTGATGAAGAAACTGAGACTCAAAGAACTTATATAAATTAGTTTAGGACAAATAACCACTAAATGTAGTGCATGGATCTGAACTCCAGACTATCCGAACCTAAAACCTCTGATCTTTTTTAGAAAGATTTTTCTATAGGGTGCATACACTCGCCAGAGAGACAGAGAGACAGAAAGCAAGACATCACCCCCAGGGGATGACCACATCACAATCCTTTTTCCTCCATTCTCCTCTAGGTATTTTGAGCATGCACGCATAAGCACCCAGTGTGAGTTTTATGCCTCCAGATCCAGGACTCGAACCAAGGTTGACTATGTGGGAGTCCAGTGATATAACCATTATGCCATCTGCAGGTCCCAAAGCCTCTGATCTTAATGACTGAGTTACTATATTTCCTTTGCAAAGGAGGAAAATCTAATTTTCCTTCTACCTGTCATAGTTTTTGGTTGGGACTCCTATAACAACAGACAGATAAACCAGAGAAAGACATGTTTATGAACATGTGTACTTCACGTATACATGAGAGATACTCAGGCAAACATGAATAGATCTCATGTTGGAAACTTGAAACTGGTATACATGTCACTTCAATAAAGAGCAGCACGTGTTTTGAAAAATGATAAAGTAAAAGAAAAGGACCTTGAGTTTCTAGGAGTGAGTGGCAAATGGTAGAAGGCAAATGTATGATATCTATAAAGGTTAGTAGTAAAGTCTGCTGTGTAGAGTCCGTCCGTGTCATCTGCAGGAAGTTAAAGTTCTGAAAGTCATTTCCAGTGACTGGCCTGTCTTTCCTGACAGAGAGGGAAGAGAGGGAACTTTTTAAATTTATATAATGTTTTGAGGTAAGAAGAGGGGAAAATAAAGAGCTTTTCTCATATCTACTTCTTCTCGACTGCCTTCAGCTCAAAATAATTCTTATGCCAAATTGGCACATTCTGGGATGACGTATTCTGCTTTGTTTTTCTACTGAAGTCTAGTCTCCAAAGCCTAGGTATCTATCTGTAGCAAAACTTGGAGCAATGCTGAAGATATTAGTAATACAACTCTAAAATTAATTGTGATTGCTGCAAACCATAATATAATCGAAAGTAGTGTTCATTCCTATACTGTCAATTTGAGTTTGCTTACATAAATAAAACAGTGAATGTTAATCTGTATGTTAGTAATAGACCATGTGTTTGTGACGTAAACATTCTAGTTCTTCACCATGGAACTATATTTCTCTGATTCCAGAAGAAGAGAATAATAAGATCAGTTAAAATGAGTAGGTTTTTCAGATGTGGTCCAGACTCATGTTTCCCTTGGCCTGCCCGAGTTTGCATCCTCTTCCCTGTGTCAATCTGCCCTGGGGATTCATTCATTCATTCTGCACATACTAATTTACCTTCCATCGGGTCCCAGGCATTTTTCTCAGCAACAGGGAGATATCAGAGAACGAAACTGACAAGGTATCTGCCCACATGAAACTGACATTTACTGGGGGCAGAGAGGCAGTAAACCGGTGAGCAATACAAAAGCAAATTAATAACAAATTACGATAACCGATGGCATCAATAAAACAGAGTAAGGACATAAGGATTTCAATTACTGAGCTAATTCAATAAGGTGAATTCCCAAGTTCTAATTAATATGTGTCCTTACAGTATAATTTTTCAGTTTTTAACATTTTTTTTTAACATGAGAGGGCAACTGCACTTGCCAGAGACAGAGTGAGAGAGAGAGGGAAAAATAAGACAGCACCCCTCATTGTACAGAAGTTTGATTATTTTCTTCACTGATTTCATGTCTTTGCCTGGTATGTTTTATTTTCAGAGAGAGAGAGAGAGAGAGTTTATTAAGCCCTTTATGGAAGAGAGAGTAGCTTTCTGGTGTAGGTTCCAGCTGAAATCCCTTCTTCTATCCTATTCTAGAAGATGTGCCAAAGCACATCTAAAATAAGAACCTTTCATCTTCACTTTCAGTCACAATTAACTCAGTAGTTATAATTCTATATCATGAATGTTACAAGTGCCTGGAACATATTTATTTATGAAAGACAGTAAGTATAAAATAATTTTCTTTGTCAAGCTATATGAAGTCTTTAGGATTCACAACAGTATCTAGTCTGTGGGATAAAAATAATGTCAAAAATATAACCCCTGTAAAGTCCAATACATCATATATGTATCCCATATTTAGGCTTCTCCTTTAAGCCTAACAGTCATTATAGTATAGTTCTTTGGCCTAGGCGTGGTGACATATACTGCTATGATGCTGGCCCACAGGCTGGGATCACACAGGAGGCCCGGGTTCAACTTCTGATCCAACCAAAAGTCTGTGCATTGTGACATGTACCTGTAATTCCAACAACTTGAGTAGGCTGACGGGTCTCTGGACAGTGAGACTCTATCACAAAAATTAAAAAAAAAATGTAGTGTGGCTCTTTTGGAAACTTTGGGATTGGGTTTTATTGACTTCACATAGTCACAACTCATGGTGTAATTTAGAGAAGTCTGTTACAGCAGATAGCAGGACCTGGGAGGTCAAAGGACTCAAACTAGGAACACTTTCTTTTTTGAGGGTGAGATTTATAAACTTTTTTGAATCCTGTGGTAAAGAACTGAAAACCGTGAAAGATACAGAGAAAAGTTTAGGTACCTGTCACTGGAAGTTGGTGCTTTGGATCTCTGGAAATAAGATATTCTTTACATGATCTCAGACTATGGAAACCCACTGTCCATAAACCGTCCCCTAGAGGCACCTGTGAGAGTCTCCATGCATGTGACGAAGATGGGCCTATTTGAATCCATTTGCTTCCGAGAGCAATGTATTTCTGACATCCCCTCTCCCTTTATTTTTGGTTCCTCATGTAAGGATATCTAAATATGAAGACTGAACTAAAAGCTGAAACCTAGTTTCTAGGCTGGCCTTAAAGCACAATGCTTAAGTCTTATGCATAGAAAACTGGCCTGCTGTGGCTCAAAAATAATTCTAATAATGTATGAGAGCATGATTCAAATCCTGATGAGATGGAAAAACTGAGGAAAAAGGATTGTGTCATGACCACCCCCAATCAGGGTGTTTTCTCCTGCCCTCTCTGGCATATGCACACATACACTAACAAAAAAATCCAAAAAAACCCCCCAAAAAACAAAAACCTGTTTTTTTTTCTTGTTTTATGCCTCTAGTGACTACCTTGATGCCCTAATATAAAGAAAATAGAAGATACTTTTTTACTGTCCAATGTTAATAATTTTGAGTTCATCACCTTAATCCTCTGGGGCTTCAATATCCTCATCTCTACAATGAAATCCTAGATAAATCCTATATGAAGTTGTTCTTCCAAAGTCTTATGTTTTCAGACTTTGAACTTTCTAATAAAGACGTAACTTTGAAATAAGGTCTTTGGAGTCATTATTGTTTATATGCAGTGTTTTTCTACACAAGAAAATAAATTCCAGCCAGGACCTCTCACTAGGATTTTGATCCATTATATTATCTTTAATTATTTGTACTTGTTGCTATACAGGTTTGAGATTTAATTTTGAGAGAACACATATTACATTTTACTGTTGAGGAGAGATCTATCTAATAAAGATTTATTTTAGGTTTATTAGTTTCTTCTATTAGTAAGAACAATGGACAGAGAAAGAGAAAGAAAACATCCCCAATAGTCTCACAATGCCATGCTCGAGTCCCAGCCCAGCCAACTGGGACATGGTCATGAACATAGTCCACGGGTCATGAGCACTCAGGAAAGTGTACTCAGGGAGGTCTTTGGACACAAACCCAGAACCTTTGTATATTAGTCAGTCTTCAGAACATCACATATTACTTCTGCACCCTTGGCCTTCCCAAGTCTAGTAATGTTCTTGCCAAGTACAGTGCAGAGCTGTGGCTGGGCAGTATACCTGGCTGGTGACTTCATTTTGCCCGCCTTTGCATTTATTCAAGTAGAGTCATGAAATTGATTCTTATCAATGGAATGTGAGTGGAGGTGAGTGTGTCACTTCTGAGCCCAAGTAATTAAGAAATAAGTGTGCTTCTCTCACTGCTAACTTCTCCTGTCCCACTGGGATGCTGATGGATGAGATGACTCAACAATTCATGTTTAGAAGATAACAGAGCCTCTGTGAGCCCCAGTTATTCTGTGACTCTGTATCACACAGCCTCTCTACAGCTTGGGCTAATGCCAGCCAGAAATACCTGCACTGGACTATGATGTGAGTAAGAGTTACATTTTCACTGTCATTTAAAGAGGTGTTTGTGACAATAGTGTAAAGTTGTTACTGTTAACAGTGTACATCTATAAGAATGTGACATAAGTTGAAGTTAGGCAGCAAAAAACAATAACAACCACAACACAGACATCACAGCTGCAAGGCAGAACTTAGGAAGCTGTGGCAATATTTGGTAAAGTGTTGCTTGTGATAACTTGAAAGAAGACCACATGAATACTGACCTTGTATCCAGCTCGAGACTACATTCTACAATCCTTTGAACTTGGTTAACTGGAACACAAGCAGAAATGATATGTGTTACTTCTGGCCACTACAAGGAAGGGAGCTCACTTATTTTTCTTTCTCTATTGTCTACTTTGTTAGCTGGATGTCAACATTAAGGGTGACTATGGAACACAGCCTTGCAAGGAACACAGAAGAGGATCTATTCAGCCATTATCCTTGAATGATTGCATGGGTCGCATCCATCCTACCCTCTGCATTACCATCACTGACTGGGGATTCCCACGTTAGACTCTACTAGGAGAAGTAAAACACTGTATGGTGCTAGATCATAGGAACTAGGTAGCTAATGCTCACTAAAATATTACAACCCTGTTCTTACTACTTTTTAAATATGTATTTTCACGAGTAAAAGCTTCCTCATTCTGGTGTTTGACCTCTAGAAACCTCAAGATCTAGAAATAGCATAGAAACCTTTCTGCAAAAATCTATCTGTAAGAGCTCTAATTTTGCTTCAAGACCTAGTTCCAACATTTCTTCTAAAAAAGCCATCCAAGGCTCTCTTAATTCTCACTTCTTCCCACCAACACTCTCTCCCACAATAATAGTTTGTCATTTGAGATGTTCATATTGCAGCAGGCCTAGGATGAATATGTCTTTTCTTAGCTGTACTGTAGGGAAGTTTTATTTTATGGTTCCCTTTGGATCTAGTACCCTTCTGTATCCTGGAATGTTCTGGAATGTTTAAAAATTTTACCTTATCCTGTGAAAAAAATAAAAGTAGGGGATGATGCTCCAATGCATTTTTCCATGTAAATTGCTCAGCTCCATGATAATAATGTACCTTCACCAAATGATAGAAATAGGAATAGAATGCAGACAATCCACTAATGTGGTGCTTTGCTGACTGTCACACAGCTGTCTTGGTTGAGACTTTCCAGAATTAAAAAAGCATTCTTTATCTCATAGCATGTGTGTGTGTGTGTGTGTGTGTGTGTGTGTGTGTGTGTATGTATAGGTGGAGGATGTCTTCTTTAAAGATTTGTCTTGAATAGATTTTTGACTAATATAAAATAGTATGCCCCCTTGCAAGAATGAATACTTGACCATGCAAATGCTAATGATATTTAAAAGCATTGGCTTACCTTTCCATAGACAATTACATAAAGCTGATCTGAGCACATTCTCAATAGGCATTTGCAGAAACCAAAACAGATTTTCTTTTGGATGATATGCAAGTCTTATGTATTATTTGGCTTGTCATGCTTTATATAACATTATTTATGTTCTTCTATCCATGGAAACAGCACAAAATTTTTTGTCAATACATTTCCTATTCTGTAATTAACCATACCTTTTGGGAACAGCAGATAGTGTAATGGTTATATTGCTGGACTCCCATGTAGTTGACCACAGTTTGAGTCCCAGACCTGGTAGCTTAAAACTCACACCAGGTGCATGTGCGTGCATGCCAAAATTCTGAGAGGAGAAGGGATTGTGGCATAGTCATTCCCCCTGGGGTGGGGGGGGTGATTTCTCACTTTCTCTCTGCTATATCTCTGGAGAGTGCACATGACCAATGGCAAAAATGCCTCCAAAAAAACCAAAAAAGAACACATTGCCATTTATTTAGAGCTATTTTACCAGTTCTTAGTACTATATGCAGTGTCTTACAAAATCCTCACGTCTGCACACCCCATAAATGAGGGAATGAATGTTAAGGAGCTTTGCTCGAGCACCACATCTAGGAAATGGTAGAATTGGTATGTGAACTCTTGCTCCAGACCTCACCTCTAAGCCACTAAGCCAGTAGTTCTCACACTTCGATGTGTATCAAATCACCTGGAAGGCTTGTTAAGATACACATAAAAAATCTCAACACCCGAATTTCTGATTTGGCAGATCTAAACTGGATTCTTGCATTTCTGACAAGTTTGTAGGAGATGCTATCATGGTTACTGTTATTATTATGTTGTCAGGATTCTGGATTTTATTGTTTGCCTTACAAAAATAAGTTTTATTTCAGTAGCTGGTGAAATTTTTTTCAGATCAGCTTGATCTTTTCAAAGCCAAAGTTAAGCAGTTCACTTATATACAGAAAATAATAACATAAAAGGTAAGAATATAATTTGCATGTGAGAGGGCTAAGTCTTAAGAAAATTTCTAGAAATTGTGAACTAATTACTTTTCCTACTGATTGTTAAAATCAACGTAAATACATGCCAATTAATTGTCCTATTTTCTCACTTTGTATCCATACTGGCTCATTCCTTGAATGAAAAGGACAAAAATCTAGAACACATCATGGAAAAGAACGGATGTATATTTTCTCCTCAAAGCCCTTTGCGATGGTTCACTGATACCCATACAACCTCCTTCTTAGATTGTTTTCTCCACATTTAACATCACCTTGGTGGCGTATGCATGCCTGCAGTAAAGAAAACAAAGAGACAGTTTTAGGCATCATGGCGAATACTTGCTTTGGCATGGAACTAACCATCTACAGAAAGAATATGATTAAATGAGTACTACTTTGGGTCATTTTCCAAAAGGTTATAAAAGAGCGAATTTTTCGTCTCATCTAGAGATGATTAATTATATTGACATGCTGGTGAAGAGATCAATTGATCTACTCTATGGGCTTTTTCAGATTCAATTTTCATTTCAGCATATTACACATTAGCCAACAAAATAGAAATATAATTTCCCTTTCAGAAGTTTTTGATATGTGATACCCCCAAAATGTGAATCCGTTCAGTTCAGTAAAAAGCCATGAACAAACGTCCAGCAGGTGGCATGGTAGTGAAGGTGTGGGACTCCCAAAGGCCGACCATGGTTTGGATCCTGACCCAGTGGCTTGAAAATCATGCTAGGCACATGTGCATGAGTGCCCAAAATCCTGAGAGGAGAAAGGACAAGAGGAAGAGTGGTATAGCCATGCTCCTGCGAGGTGATTCTCACTTTCCCTCTCTCTGTCTTTCTCTGGTGAGTGCACTTGCCCTATAGCAAAAACCTTAAATAAAAGAAAGCCACAAATAAAATGAAACTTTTTTGGGGGTAGAAATTTTAAACATGCTAATTTTTAATTTTTGATTGTTACATTAATGTAAACTTTTAGTGGAGAGGTCAGAAGATGGCATAGTGGTTAAGGTGCTGGATTCCCACATGGTCAACCACAGATTGAGTCCCTAACCCAGGGACTTGAAATTCACACCAAGCACACATAAGTATGTGCCCAAAATGCCAAGAGGAGAAATAGAGGGAAGGGACTGTAATGTGGCTATCCCCCCTGGGGGGAGTGTGTGTAGTTTCTCACTTTCTCTTCCTGTGTGTCTGGCTCTCTGGTGAGTGCAAATACCCTATAGCAAAAATCTCTAAAAAAAATTCATAGACATTACGCTAACTGCTGGTCCCAAATAGCACTTTTTAAAGTATGGCGTGGGGGTGCCTGAGACTGACTCTATAAGGTGAAACTATTTATATAATAATATTAAGAAATTGTTCTTTTTGCCCTCAGTCTCTAATATTAAGAAGTGATTTGGGATCTGCAGGTGGCATGGTAATGAAGGCGCTGGATCCCACATGATCAATAATGCTGTTCAAGCCCCAGACCTGATAGCTTAAAAAACTCACCAGGTGTGTGTGCATGTGTGCCCGAAGTCCAGAAAGCAGAGCCTTCTCTGCCATCATGGTGTGTGTAGGTGACTTGGTTCTTCGCCATATCTTCTCACAAGACTTTCAGAATAACATGTGTTCTGGCCAAGAAACAGAAGCAAAATCATCCTATTCCCCAGTGGAGTTGAATGAAAACTGATAATAAACTCAGAGGAGATACTGGAGAAGAACCAACCTGGGTCTCTAAGGAACTGGATCAAGGTCACTATTGTCTTACCATATCAAGCTGAAAATTGTCATCACTGCATGAACAGTTGGGAATTTTTTTTTTTTTTTGAAAAAATGATGCTTCACTTTGTATCTATCCTCTGCATTGGTAAGTTGGTTCAATAACAAATACATGAAACCTTTTGTTTGGAAGAAAAAAATCCAGAGAACTGAATGAAGGGATTGCAGTGTGGCCATATCCCCTGGGGAGTGATTTCTCCCTTTTCCTCCTTCTGTTTCTCTATGATGAGTACTCACACCCTATGGCAAAAATCTTAAAAAGAGAAATGATTTGTCCATTTTTACTCTAAGTCTCTGAGTGTACATTGGAGTTTTCAGGCTGCAAGATATGTGATTCTGCATAGCTTGATACAGATACAGATTGAATATAGATTGATACAGATCGAATATAGAGACAGGTATGAAATTACAGCTTTTTTCTATTAAATAATATATTAAAGAGATATAAGAAATATAAAGAAAGGCTACTGTTTATTTTTTGGAGAGGTTTTTTTGCTATAGGGCTCATGCACTTGCAAGAAAGACAGAGATAGACAGAGAGACAGAAAGCGAGAAACCACTCCCCCTCAGGGGGGTTGGCCATGCCACAATCCCTTCTCCTCCATTCTCCTCTTGGGATCCCGCTGGGGTTCTGGGCCCCCCCTGCCATGAGTTTAAGCCACTGGGTCCGTGACTAGAACCACAATCAACTACATGAAAGTCCAGCGACATAGCCATTATGCAAACTACTGGTATCAAAAGGCTACTCTTTTAAAAATTTTTCTGTTTTATTGATATTTTATCAATGTACATCTTCATAGCATATAAATAAAATCTTCCCAAAATGAATATACTGCACATTAGTCCAGTAAAAATATCACCATACACATCATCCTTAACTCATAATTTTATACTTTTGTGTCTGCTACATGTTTTTCTTTTCTTTTTTCCCCCTTTATTCCCTCCCCTCTGCCACATTTTTGCAATTCCACTCTTGGGTATCTACCCAAAGCACAGGAATAAACAGTCAGAAGAACACTTGCACATCCATGTTTATTGTAGCATTTTTCACAATTTTCAAATGAATATTACTCATATCTGTGATCTAGAAAATGTAGTTTTTTAAAAATTGAAATACTCGTGTTATCTATAGCATGCTTAACATCTTCATTTTCAAAATAAATTAATATTTTCTAATTGTCAGTTTTCTTTTCTTTTTTTAAAGATTTATTTTATTTAACTTTATTTATTTATTTTAATTTGATCAGAGAGGGACAGAGTGTGTGTGTGAGAGAGAGAGAAGGAGAGTGAGAAAGCAAGCCACCAGGTCCAGGACTCAAACCGTGGTCTGCCATGTGGGAGTCCAGCACCCTTAACCACCACGCCACCAGCCAGCCCCAGTTTTATTTTCTAATAGGACAACTATCCAACTCTTTGACATGATCAGTGAGTTTTAGTGTGGGGAGGTCTCTTGAGACAAAAACATTTACAAAATGATGTGTATTTACATAGACCACATTGACATGAGTCAAATAATACCAAAAGGGAAAAAAAAGTCTGGATGACCAAGGAGAGGGAGAAATGAAATGTGAATCCAAAACACCAGGAATGTATGACCCCACAGAAATATGTGAGAGAGATAGCTGAACAATATAGCGAATGCTGATAAAATAATGCCCCCACCCACTTTTTTCACACTGGAACATGTGGCAGAATAGTTGTAAAATCTTTTTCATAACTACAAAACAGATGAATGAAAACAGAATACAGTCATAAGGAGGGCCACAGAGAATCCATGCAAGTTTTAAAATATATTTTTTCTGAAAGAATATAAATTTATAGAAATTGTTTTATTACAGAACATGCACTAAGATAAAAGCAAGATTCATTTTATTTTCCCAATGTTGACAAAGATCTTTGTAGAGTAAATTAGAATTTCAAGTAATGTTTAGGTAAGGCTCTTTGGCTATAGAAAGTCATGTGTGCTTAAACAGGGAAAAGAAATTTATCTGAGTATATAAGGGTGTTTGATTAGCAAGGGAGAAGATGCAACCAAATTTTAGGAAAGACCAGAACCCAGAACTGGCCAGTATCAAGTCATTGAAATGTTATTCCATTATTGTCCTAGTTTTTTTCCTTCTAAACACTATGGATTTTCATCTTTGCTTCTCTCTGGGATTCTAAAAAGTAATTTTTCTCTTTTTTTGACTTTTGCGCCCCAAATATTTCTAAATATGTCTCATCTAAGTTCCTGTGTTCATAAGTCGAGCCACCAGCAGAGGCTGGCTAGCATTGTAGAATTCGGACTCCAAAAACTTTGAATAAGCTGATTGCCCCAATTTAGTCTATATGTCTATTCTTGACCAAGAAAGTTATGACCTGGAGATTATGGGGCAATGATAATCATGAAAGAATATGTTAATTCTCAGAGAAGTAACTTGTGAGCTGAACAAATACTGCTTTTCCCTAGAACTAAGAGATAAGTAATAAACCCCTAAAATTCCCACTTTTGTCTAGATACCTTAGCTATGTTATCGAGACTCTCAGTTAATGGTGATTTTATCACATAATCGTTACAGCTTTAGTGATTATGAAAGTGTTCTGTTTCTATAATGTATTATGATAGGTAACCATCTTGGTAGAAATCTCCTGGACGATTCTCTTTATAAAGCTTGAGTTTTTTTTAAGCAATTGCTACATTGTAAAGAAAATTCTTTCTTTGAGACCAGACTCTCACCTAAATTAATTAAAGCCTATATACAATATAAATGGGGGGCCTTTGCAATCTGAGAAAATAAATGACAATGTACACATGCCTGCAATAGAAGTATTTAGTTGGCTTAGCACTGAGTTAAACTTTGAAGCATGTGTCCAGAATGCTCTTTGTCCTGATCAGTACTGGTAGGTTAAAATACTCTGCAATAGAAGTATTTAGTTGGCTTAGCATTGAGTTAAACTTTGAAGCATGAGTCCAGAATGCTCGTTGTCCTGATCAGTACTGGTAGGTTAAAATACCAATTGCACCCACCCCAAGGAAGGCCTACATGCTAGCCCTCTCTGACAGCCTGAGTCAATGGGACATGTAATACCTGGTCTGACATGCACCAACACAACTTACCTGGAACAGTCAAACAATAGGCCTGATTTCTTGGGAATGTAATCTGTCCCCCTTCAATGATGCATGGAAGATGCTGAGAAAATGTCACACTTACCTCTTTTCTGGTCACGTACCACGTCTTTTATCTCCCTAGTTAATGGGAGAAATTGGAAGTGACATTAAAGCTTGTCTGTTTCATACCATACCTGTGGACATGTGTCTTCATGTAAGCTTCGACCTATTAAAACAGGAAAAATCATTTTTAGAACTCCACTCTTGGGACTAGAAAGTTAGATCTTAGACTAATTTAATAATAAGGGCTATATGACGTATGTTGTGGTGATAGTTTTTTTAATAAACAATTCATTTGAAATCCCCATTTTCTCTCTCTCTCTCTTTTGAGAGGTTTTTGCTATAGTGTGTGTGTGTGTGCTCACCAGAAAGACTGAGAGAGATAGAAAGCAAGAAATAACTTCCCGGGAGGGGATGGCCATGTTGTAATCTCTTCTCCCCCATTCTCCTCTTGGGATCTTGGGAACACATGCACATGCGCCTGGTGTGAGTTTAAGCTACTGGGTCTGAGACTTGAACCATGGTCAACTACAAGAGAGTCTGGTAATGTAGCCATGATGCCATCTGCTGGTTCCTCAAATCCCCATTCTCAAAGCTTGTCATAGCCATGACCAGTAATGGTTTCTTCCTGGTATTCCACAGATTCTATGGACTTGATCTGATGTGACTGACTTAAATCCCCTCATGTAACAGAGCTAAAAAATTGGTGAACTCAAAAGAATACTTTTTCACATGGATGAATCAAGTGGTAGAAATAGGAAACAGGACACTAACCCAATCCCAGTCTTCTATCTGCCTACTGCTGCTTGTAGTCAGTGTCATCCTAGTCAGTGTCATCCTGTGACTCAGGAAAATGAGTCTGGAACCCATGTTATAAACTGGCTCTGGTTCTTCTTTGGTTGTGTTCTCTCTGAGGAGCTAAAGGTTTACAAAGCTCAGGGGATTGTTTTTATCTGGAGCTTGGAATTCTTTCTTAAAGAACATAGTCCAGATATCTAAAATTCCAGAATTTAATTGTCAGATAGCAATTAAACTTGCTGCCAAGTTTTGTGCAGGGCACTTAAACTGTACCGTATAGGAAATCCCGGACTGTGGAAATGCCCACCCTCAAACAAACAAACAAGCACAAAAACAGAAAAAGCCGAAAGACTGGTATGTGCAGGCATGGAGGTAGCTCACACTTGCTGGTTGGGATGGGCATGCAAATAGGTCCCTTCCAGAGTTAAATGGAAGTAGGGATGCAAGAGAAAAAGTAGGTTACTCCCTTCCCTTCTGGGGACCAGGGACTAGTTCTCCTTATATTGCCTTATTTTCTTGCAGAAATTCAAGGAATTCAAGAATTTTAAAGTCAAACCTGACCTTCTGGTTTATTACAAAGGATGGGAGAAAATATATATTTTCCTCTAAATTTTTGGTATCATTTATAGTTTTTAAATACTTATACTGTGCCTGAGCCTCCATTTATGCTCTTGACTAGAAACTGAAAAATGTTAGAGGTCAGTGTGTCCAGGTTCTTAGGAGTTTCTAGAAAAATTTAAAAGCATTATCAACATACAATGCTTTGCCTAACTCTGATGTATTTGTCTCATAGGCTGAGATGTGCAGGAAGAGACAGAAATAAAATTCTCTAGCTTATGATAGAACATATTAAACTGGAATGGAATCAGGCAGAGCAGCTTGTTTCTGTCTCTACCAAGCTCAGGCCTATATGTCATCCTTTTACATTCAGTCTTCAAAAGCAAGGGAAGATGAATCTGAGAAAGAAAAAAAGAAAAACCTACAAAAGAGAGTGGTAAAGAAAAGCTTCACTTTAAGGCTGAGAGAACAGCAGACCAAAGCCATCTATTCCAGGATTTATTTCTGTGAGATCCACCCTGTTTGCTGAGAGATGTTTTCTATCTTACTTGGCTATGATTTCTTGGTGAAAAGGCATGAGTGTACCCACTGAGGTATTATTTGTATATATTAGGTTTAAAAAACTAAGGTCAAGTCCTTCCAACACTTCCAGCCAAAAATGTAAAGGACCATATGCATTTTTTCTGTTATTTTTCTGAATAAAACTTTGTAGCAAACTGGCAGGTCAGGTTTGACTTTAGAATTCCAAAATTCATTGAGTTTCTGCCACAAAACATGGCAGCATAAAGAGAACTTGTCCCTAGTCCCCAAAAGAGAGTAATTTTGCTGTTATGACTAAGTTTGAAACAAAAATAATTTCAAGCATTGTTACACATGGATATCTAGACTGGATAGCCCTAACATAAAACTGCAGCTAAGATTATTGTGCAAAGACTAAGTTCAGAAATGCTCTAAAGAAATGCCCTTTATAGAATGATGCTTCAGTGAGGTCACTGTTGATCAACTGTGCCCTAAATTACACAAACACCGTCTTAGATGATGCAACAGGGTCAGCTAGGATTATCACACAACATCCAAGCAGCAACATCAATACTGAAGATTTGAGTTTCTTATTATCTTTCATGTGCTAAATTGATCCCATAGTATTCTACTATTTTTTTTTAAATTAAGCCATAGGTATCTCACCATTCATGCAGTTTTATGACATCTAATTTTCAAGCACAGTTCTGATGTCAATAAAATTGACAATGTCAAAATTATTTGCTGCTGATCTCCTAATGAACTGTCACATTTTCTGGCAGGTCAAAATGTGGAATCCAGGTTTAAGTATAAGCCATGTGCCATCTTTCCAAGCTTGATATTGTATCTACCTACACAGCAATGTTAGTGTCCATGAAGCTTAATATTTCTAGGGTACACCCTGTGCATAAATAGCAACATGGCTACCCGTGTGACCTGACTTCAGAAGCTGCATACCTTTTCTATTTAATATTTAAAAATGTCTCCTCTGAACCCACCATTATACTAAACTATGCTAAAAATCAGGATTAGAAAGACATAGTATTTCCCTTCCAAGTCATTTGTGCTGTGAGAACAAGGGAAATGGCTGGCTTGCCAAGGTGTGGAGGGTTCTCGTAGCAGAGAAGCTCCTTGTCATTAAGTAACTAGGTCTTGATACCCCAGTGTTAAAGATGCAAGCATGGAAGATGAAACTCACTGGTCTATCAACATTTGTATTGGTTAGGTAAAGAATAAGGTCCTCTTTGTAAAGTAAGCCCTAAATACAGAGGCTTTAAAAAATCAGTAATTTCTTGGGAAATGGTCTTTACCTACATGATCAAAGCTAAATTGCAGACATGCTCCTATTCTGGCTCTTGGCAAACGACAAGAGAAGATGTGGAAGGCCAGTGACTTTCTTTTAAACCAATAAGGCAGACATATCACTTTCACTTGTATTCATTCCCATGGTGATAACTAAGTCATATCCCAGAGACAGCTTCAAAGGAGTCTGGAAAATCTACTTTCTAGCTGGGTGCCGCATACATAGATTGAACTATATTATTATCGAAAAATAGGAGAATGGATTTTGATGGACAACCAGTAGTCTTCATCATAGAATTACGGAAAATTTCAGCATTTTTCTAAATACTCTACTCATTACAGTAGAAATTGATCTGGTAAAATCTTGATGTTACAAGATCTAAAACAGAGATATTGTTAATGGGGTGAGAGTAGATAAGCACTTTATAGGATAGTTGAGCTTGATTGTGAATTGTATGTGGAGACAAGATGATAGGCCCCTAAACTAGCTTGGAAGAGAAGATGATAGCCGAAGATAAGTTGAGGGCACTACAGGGGACCACTTGGGGCACAGTGGTGATCTTACACGGAGCTGGTGGTAGAGCAAAGTCACAATTATAGCAGAATAATCTGCACGCATATCAGCAATGATAATACTCATATAGTTTTCAAAATACTAATGCACCTGTATCTGCTGTTCTAACTGAAAACAATCCTGTAACTATTGATATTAACTTTGGATATTTCAAGATATTAAGGTTATTTAACAGTAATATAAGAAAAAATAATTTTAAATCAGTTTATTTATGTTTATGATATTTCATACTCTTTTCTTTCCAGTATCCTTATTTAGATTTTGTCTAGACAACTTAAAATAGAGGGGCAGGCAGGTGGTGTGGTGGTAAGGAGCACTGGATTCCAACATGGCTGAATGTGGTTTGATTCCTGGACCTGGTAGCTTGCTTTCTCACTTTCTCTCTCTTTCACACACACACACACACACACACACACACACACACACACACACTGTCCCTCCCTGGTCAAATTAAAATAAATAAAAAATTAAAATAAAGTTAAATAAAATAATTCTTTAAAGAAATTTTTTATAAAACAAAATTTAAAATAGACATTGAAGATCCTAAGCATGTACTTGTAGTGACTAATTTGAGGTTCTGAAATGTTTGATGCTTCTGGGATTCTACACTTATGTGATGATCTGGCGCCACCCAGCAGAACTAATGAACATAAGATATTAAGGTTATTTAACAGTAATATAAGAAAAAAATAATTTTAAATCAGTTTATTTATGTTTATGATATTTCATACTCTTTTCTTTCCAGTATCCTTATTTAGATTTTGTCTAGACAACTTAAAATAGAGGGGCAGGCAGGTGGTGTGGTGGTAAGGAGCACTGGATTCCAACATGGCTGAATGTGGTTTGATTCCTGGACCTGGTAGCTTGCTTTCTCACTTTCTCTCTCTTTCACACACACACACACACACACACACACACACACACACACACACTGCCTCTCTGGTCAAATTAAAATAAATAAAAAATTAAAATAAAGTTAAATAAAATAATTCTTTAAAGAAATTTTTTATAAAAGAAAATTTAAAATAGACATTGAAGATCCTAAGCATGTACTTGTAGTGACTAATTTGAGGTTCTGAAATGTTTGATGCTTCTGGGATTCTACACTTATGTGATGATCTGGCGCCACCCAGCAGAACTAATGAACATTGTCTTTGTGGTTGCTTGTAAAGCCTGCTCAGAGTGAAGAAAATAGGTAGGACTGTTTTTGCAGTGGTCAAAAGTAGTCCCAAACAACATCTTGGTTCTTGTGTCAGAAGGCAGTCAAGCCATTCCAGATCTACTTTCCTGACAGAGGTTTCATGAAGAAGTGGATTGGAAACCTGATTGCATGAATTGAAAATGGCATGAGAGATGAAGGAGAAAATTACTAGGAGAAAACTCATTTTGGGAGTTAAATTATTATTTTTCAAATG